TTGAGGGATCTCTGGTTGACTTCGTCAAAAGTGGTTGGGGTGTTCTTGATTAAGTTATCCCGAAACCGATCATGGTTGAGGCCTTGCATCACGGCAGTTACTCCCATTGCTTCATCGAAGGCATTGACCTCCAGCATGGCGTCGTTGAACCTGTTCATATAGTTCTTCAAGGATTCGCCTTCTCTTTGCGTTATGCGCATGAGCTCGGGTGTCGTCTTTTTTATCAACCTTCTGCTTGAGAATTTGGTGGCAAAGAGGGTTGCCAGCTCGGCATACGCATTAATCGAGTTCGGACGCAGGGTGTGATACCAGGTCCGGGCATTGTCGCGCAATGTGGAGGGGAACATCTTGCACATAAGTGCGTCTGAGGCATTTTGAGCCTGCATGATGGAGAAAAATGCATGCAAGTGGTCATCAGGGTCTTTAGTGCCGTCATATGTTTCAAACTGCGGCATCCTGAAACCGGGTGGATATGGCTCTTGGGTGATTTTGATACCGAGGGGAGTGGGGATGGAGGCTGATACAGGTGGGGTCTGCGGTTGTGGATCTTTGTTCTCGGCTAGCAGCTTTTCTAGGTTATCTAGCCTCTTTGAGACATCTGAGGCAGCTGGTTAAGGCGGGTTTTGTGGCTGGGGTAGCATGTGAGATTGGGCTTGAGAAGCGTTTGGGGCTGCACTGCGGACCGGAGAGTTGGCAGGCTGTTGAACTAGTTGGGGAGCCACGGGGGGAGCTGGGTTCAATAAGTGAATAAGTGGGTCAGCGGGGTTATCTCTGGCCAACAGCTGGGCAAGTACTAGCTGGAAGACCCCGAATTGTTGTTGCATGGCATTGAGTTGAGCGGTCACAGGGTCGCTTGCTACAGCGTTGGGATATTGTGGATTATGTTCCCCAACTCCCTCTGTCTGCTGATGTTGGGGGGCTGCAACCGGTGCACTCTGTGACCCGGGGTTGATGCTTGGGGGCTGGCCTCTTCCTTGGCCTCTGGGGGGACTCTCGCGCTGGGTTGTTCGTGTGCGCACCATCTTAACTTCTGGTGATGACTTCTGTTCGGTTTCCCACAGACGGCGCCAATGTTGTTGCTGAATATCCTTGAGTTCCTGCTTTAAGTCGGTTCTTCTTCAAATAGTCCTGCAAAATCCCGAGGTTTGTCCTCGGGGAGAAACTCCGATGCTTAAGTTAGTATTTTTCTCTCTCTCTTTTCTTTTTTGTTCCGCCTATTTATCGAGTCTTACCTTGTAGGTTTTGTCCCGCTTGGCAAGGCACCCACGTGGCCCGTCCATACCCACGTGGCCTAGTCAATCCACTAATGGTGACATGGTGCGCCTGACGGAGTAGACGTTTTAGGTGAGTGTAACGTGCCTTAACGGAGCAACCGCATTAAATGCGCGTGGTGCGTTCTGGCGGAGCAGGTTCCTTGAGAAGGGGTGTTCTGGTACAGACGAGTGATCAGATGAGGGTGTGCTTATTGTGGCTGTCATACACCCACGACGAAGTGCCGAGGTGCGGTTAGCTCTGAGCTCTGCAGCCGAGGTGTGGTTGGCTCTGAGCTCTGCACCTTGTCTTGTCTCGTGTGGCTGCCCTTACAGAATCCACTCTATATACAAGCTTTAGATTGAAAATTTAAGTAAACAAGACATTTGAATTCAGCTAGTTTTCTTCTTGCGTGTTTAGTTACTTAGC